CATATTGGCATACAAGGACCAAGTACCTAAAAGAGTGTCCCCCAGTGTCCCCAATAAGCATCAGAAAACCTCTGGGTGCTGCCCAGTTGGTGTGGATTCATGACAGGGCCCTCCAGGTAGCATTTCCTCATTGGCAAAATGTCCTCCCCGGTGCAATGCATCCGTCCCTATTATTCACCTTCATGAGGCACTTGAAACAACAGATTCTGTTCCTGACAATCTTGAAATTATGAGCTGTAAGTGTATGGACATTTTACGTGTTTTTAGTTGTTTTTAATTATCTTTAATTGTTTTTAAATGTCTTAAATGTATTTTTTTATTCTTAGTTTTAATTATATTGTTGCTTTCTGTTGGTGTTCGCAGACCTGGGCTCCTTTTGGAGAAAAGGCGGGGTAGTAATTTAATAACACAATTAAAGAAACAAAGTCCTTTAGAAGAAGCCTCCCTTTACTGGGACCCTCACTCTGTCAGAAAGGGCGCTTTAACTCCTTCTCTTCCCCTCACTTGTGACCATGCAGAAGAGTTTCTATCAACATAGCACCACCCGGCTCCTTGCTGCTGTTCCCATGGGAGGGAAGGAGTTAAAGAGCCCTTTGCCTGTTCAATATGTGGAGCCAATCCTGCCCAAAACTTTGACCCACTAGGCAGCCCCAACTGTGCTCCTGGTTCAATTAGTTCCTGATCTGGTTGGAAGAGGCTCCTGATCCTGGCAGGGAAAACAGGAGAGGAAGCTTTTCACATTTTGGAGGTGAGCATCCCTCCTGCTCCTTTCCCCCGGATGCCATGTCTTCTTCTATTGTGAGCTTGAGGGCAGGGGCAATCTCCGCTCTATAAACTCTAGAATTAACCCTTGTGGCAGGCCGGGTGTTGCCCGATTTCAGCTGCTCCATCCCTGACCACTGAGAAGGCTGGCAAGGCTCATGGGAGCAGAGTCTGATCATGTCTGGTGGCCGCAGGTTCCCTCTCTGTGTGCTAAGGTCGGCACCCTGTGCCTTGGGAGTGGCTGTTGGAGTAGTTGGCGTGGTGACTGGAAGAAGAACAGATTCCCGCATCTTGGAGAGGGTTTCAGCAGGTGATGCTCCTCATGTTCTGCAGTGCTGTGCCATTACGCTCCCATTCAGTACAGTTAACTGTACAAGGCCCCGTCTTCCCTATCCCTTTGAAGCAGTTTCATGCCACTTTAAAAGAGTCCTGGCTTTTCCAGGGACTGTCGTTGGTTAAGGCTGCTGAGAGTTGTCAGCAAACTTGGGAATCTTGGGGAGAAGCCATGGCTGTTTAAAGTGGTATGATGCTGCTTTAAAGGTTTAGTACAGATGGGGCCCAAGAGTGAAGGTTTTTATTTGGCTGTTCTCTTGTCGGATGGAGGCTTCCATGCTCCTGCTGTTCGTCCTAGGGCCAGAGGGGGCAGGCAGCCTGTAGACACAACTGTCCATAAGAAAAGCCTCTTTCTTGCCCTTGTTGCATTGGGGATATTTGGAGGAGAGGTCATTTCTATCTGGTAGGGGATTAACTGATCCTCCAGGGACAAAGACTCCGTTATTCATCCCATTTGGCCCCAGATGTTGTTTGCTGCAAGGATGTTATCTGCCTAGCCAACAAGAGCTGCAAAACTCATTTTAAGGGTTCTCAGACCTGGTGTGAGTTTAAACTGTTCCCAGGGATAGCCCTCATATTCTGGGCTGATCCTTTCTCGGTGCTTTTCTCAGAATAGCTTTGGGATTTATTTACCAACTTTGTTATTGGTGGAACTGGCATTCTTGTGATGTCAGCCTCATATCATTGTTATATGTCCCTCTGAGGATCTTGCTAGATGTCAGCCCTAGAATATGGTAAGTATGCTTCTAGGCATTAAGGGACGTGGGTGGTGTTGTGGTCTAAACCACTGAGCCTAGGGCTTGCCGATCAGAAGGTCAGCGGTTCAAATCCTTGCAATGGGGTGAGCTCCCGTTGCTCAGTCCCAGCTCCTGCCAACCTAGCAGTTTGAAAGCACCCCCAAAAAAAGTACAAGTAGATAAATAGGTACTGTTCCAGCAGGAAGGTAAATGGCATTTCCAATCGCTGCTCTGATTTCGTTGTTCCATTACGCCAGAAGCAGCTTAGTCATGCTGGCCACAAAACCCAGAAAAACTGTCTGTGGAGTGGGCAAACACTGGCTCCCTTGGCCTGTAAAACGAGATGAGCACCGCAACCCCAGAGTCGTCTGTGGCTGGACTTAACTGTCAGGGGTCCTTTACCTTTAACTTTATGCTTCTACGCATGCGCAGAAGGCATTTAGTTATCACTGAATTTGTAGTTCATACACAGTCTGCCAGAATTTGTAGTTCATACACAAACCAGCCCTCAGGAATTAACTGCAGGCTACTTCAGAGTAGCTGTTGTTTTTTTAAAATTAAAGCCTTATCTTGTGGGTGCCTTTCAGCATCTTACAGTAAAAGTAAGGATGAGATACTGACCTATTTTACAGGGTTGCTGTGAAGGTAGCTTTGTGTGTGTGTGTGTGTGTGTGTGTGTGTGTGTGTGTTTGTGTGTGAGAGAGAGAGAGAGAGAGAGAGAGAGAGAGAGAGAGAGAGGTTCTTCCAACACTTACAGTACATTTGATAAAAGTGGTTGAAGATTATTAGCATGGCCCTCATCTTGCCACAGGTGTGCAGTGCGGGGGGGAGCTGGTGTTGTGCACCCCTTGAGGGCTGAAGTGTGTGTCTGTGGGCAATTGGCATGTGGGAGTGTGTGCCTCCGCCCACGGGTGTCACCAAGGATGTCCCCTTCACATGTGGCATCAGAAAAAAAGAAAGGGGTGCCCTCAGATGACTGTTCTGGATTTGATTCCCTGACCTTGGAAGCCCCAGCGGTTGAGGGCCAAGGCTTCTCTGTGACAAGGCCATGGATTGGGACCAGGCAAACTGGAACTGGGCTCCCTTCCCGGATTATTATGGAATGCTCAGCAGCAAAATAATAGCAGGTTAGACTATAAAAAGTTCCCTGGGATTCCAGTTCTGCTCCACATTAGTTAATCTGGACCTAACTGCTACGCTCCGTATACAGAATCTCCAGTTCATCCATAAGCCTAGCTAGAGACTAAAATGTGGGTCTAAGACACTTATCCAGCTGGAATTCTACACCCCCAGCAGCGGCCTTGCTTGCTCTCTCCGATTCTGCTAACCCTGGACGGAATGATGGACGTTGCATTGCCAGTTAGGGCAGTTGCAGATGCATTTAAAATGCCACAAATTAGTACTGACTCTAACAGACTGGAATGAGGAGTTTTGTATTGCTAGCTGTTAAGGCTTGTGATGTGCTTAATTGTTGTTGTTTTTTAAATCACGTTGAATAGATTTCTTTAAAGCCCAAGAATTAGAGGCCCCTCTCTCTTGTCTCTTTTTAACGTAAATGTCCATGGCCAATCTGTGAATGGTCAAGCCCAGATAAAATGCTCATAACACAAAATGATCTTTTTTCCTTTCCTTTCTTTTTTGGGGGTGTTTATAGTTAGGGCTGCTTAGCTGAGTTACGACTCACTATGCTGGAACTCAAAACACTTGGGGTGAATCACAGCAATCCATAAATAGGTTTAGTCAGCATCCTTGGCTTTGAGCCAGTTGGGTCCAAACTGATTTACAAGTTGGGGGGGCAGGCCTTGCACCCACATTTTCATGTTTCTGCTTTCTTGATCAGTCTGAATGATATGCGGTATTTCTGATAAAAGGAACCAACTGTTCAGCACGGTTTGGAATCCATGTACAGGATCAGAGAAATGGTTTTGTGCTCAAGCAGCATTCAAAAGTCTCCTTTTTACACTATTTCCTGAGACTTAAGATGCAGGTGGCACTGTGGGTTAAACCACAGGGCCTAGGACTTGTTGATCAGGTCAGCGGTTCGAATCCCCACGATGGGGTGAGCTCCCGTTGCTCGGTCCCTGCTCCTGCCCACCTAGCAGTTCGAAAGCACATCAAAGTGCAAGTAGATAAATAGGTACCGCTCCGCCAGGAAGGTAAACGGCGTTTCCTTGCACTGCTCTGGTTCGCAAGAAGCGGCTTAGTCATGCTGGCCACATGACCCGGAAGCTGTACGCCGGCTCTCTTGGCCAATAAAGCGAGATGAGCGCCGCAACCCCAGAGTCGTCCACGACTGGACCTAATGGTCAGGGGTCCCTTTACCTTTAAGATGTATGGGGGCTGAGGAACCTCATGAGGGTTCAACAGAAGATGTAAATACAGAACAGAATAATGTATACTTGGCCATCTTCCATTCATGGCATGGAAGACCAGACCTCCACAGTTACCTTAGAAGCTCTGAGAAGTATTTGTACATTATGATAATGGTATGAACATTGTGGTTATAGTTGAATCCTGTGGTACTTCACCACTAAGTCAGAACTATAACCTGTGAACTGAGCAGGTGGGAGGGGTGGCTAACACTCCAGAGGACAAGATCACACTTCAAAACGACCTTGACAGATTAGAGAACTGGGCCAAAACAAACAAGATGAATTTTAACAGGGAGAAATGTAAAGTATTGCACTTGGGCAAAAAAAATGAGAGGCACAAATACAAGATGGGTGACACCTGGCTTGAGAGCAGTACATGTGAAAGGATCTAGGAGTCTTGGTTGACCACAAACTTGACATGAGCCAACAGTGTGACGCGGCAGCTAAAAAAGCCAATGCAATTCTGGGCTGCATCAATAGGAGTATAGCATCTAGATCAAGGGAAGTAATAGTGCCACTGTATTCTGCTCTGGTCAGACCTCACCTGGAGTACTGTGTCTAGTTCTGGGCACCACAGTTCAAGAAGGACACTGACAAACTGGAACGTGTCCAGAGGAGGGCAACCAAAATGGTCAAAGGCCTGGAAACGATGCCTTATGAGGAACGGCTAAGGGAGCTGGGCATGTTTAGCCTGGAGAAGAGGAGGTTAAGGGGTGATATGATAGCCATGTTCAAATATATAAAAGGATGTCACATAGAGGAGGGAGAAAGGTTGTTTTCTGCTGCTCCAGAGAAGCGGACACGGAGCAATGGATCCAAACTACAAGAAAGAAGATTCCACCTAAACATTAGGAAGAACTTCCTGACAGTAAGAGCTGTTCGACAGTGGAATTTGCTGCCAAGGAGTGTGGTGGAGTCTCCTTCTTTGGAGGTCTTTAAGCAGAGGTTTGACAACCATATGTCAGGAGTGCTCTGATGGTGTTTCCTGCTTGGCAGGGGGTTGGACTCGATGGCCCTTGTGGTCTCTTCCAACTCTATGATTCTATGATTCTATGAATATGATTTCTCTAGAGCAAAAACTGGAATCAAGGTTAGTTACTGCAGTGCTCCTGTCGAGACACTTCTTGCATAATGTCTGTGGTGCAATTGATAATGAGTAACATACAGGAAGCCCTCAACCTTTGCAGGGGTTGTGTGCCGAACATTGCGCCTGAAGCCAAAATCATGTATAGCCAAAACTCATTGGCTGCAATGGTGGGTGAGATTGCCAAAGTTTTCCCCTCCTTTCTGCCCCTTTTTTATCTGCAGTGGTACCTCGGGTTAAGTACTTAAGTTGTTCTGGAGGTCCGTTCTTAACCTGAAACTGTTCTTAACCTGAGGTACCACTTTAGCTAATGGGGCCTCCTGCTGCTGCTGCGCCGCCGGAGCACAATTTGTGTTCTCATCCTGAAGCAAAGTTCTTAACCTGAGGTACTATTTCTGGGTTAGTGGAGTCTGTAACCTGAAGCATCTGTAACTCGAGGTGCCACTGTATTTGTTAAAGTTTTGCCAAGCGTGTAAAGCTGAATGTGCACAAATTAAATGTGTGCAGGTTGCAGGATTACTGTACATCCCTACTCTTCTCCCTCTCGGACTTTTTGCACACAACACATGTGCTCTGCTACCTAGCTACAGTCCTCCTTGCAAATTACCTGTGCTGGGTTCTTTTTTAACGGTTGATAAAGGGTGTGTGGGTGTGTGAAGATATTTGCATATGACCCGTCATACAACTTTATCCCGATTTCCTATGTAATATAACTTTTTATGTAATTAGGAATTTCAATAAAATACAGTTAGAGTATTAAAATTCTGCAAAAATAGAATTAAAACAAGCACACTTTTCAAATAGAGGAACTTATCCATTTGTTTTATTAGCTGCTGCTTCTTTTAAAATTAAAGAAGAGAATGAAAAATACAGAATAGATTTCATAATAGCTTTCCTGCATCTGTGTAGGGATGATGTAGGTGAAACCCTGACCAGCACCCAGTCTCTTGTCCCTGAAACACCCATTCTCTCTTCTGCCTTCTCTGCCTCCCGGGGGCTCTTTAGCAGGCGCCTCTCCTGGAATCAGCCGCTTGCCATGAGCGCCAGAGAAAATCCTGCAGCTGAAGCCCCATAGGCAGCAAAGTGCCCTTGGATTGCTGCTTGGCCCTGGAGAGATAAACAAGCCCAGATCATTACTGCTTGATAATTTTTGAGGCAGAACAGCTGTGGCAACAGAAAATGTTGGCGGCAGCATCTCCCACACCCACAACTTGGGGAGGAAATATTCCTGAGGAAGGCTTTCTTCTTATCAGATCTGGGCAAATTTTCCAGGCTTGGCCTCTATCTTGTCCCAAGAGTTTTGCCTCTTCAGCAAAACTGTGGGTGAAGCAAAGGTTGAAGCCTGACTCTCTGGCGTTCCTCATCCTCCGCAGGCTTCTCATTTTCTGCAGGCCACATTCGGTGGGTGGGACTGTCCCCCCCCCAAGTTCAAGGATAATAATAATAATAATATTATAATAATTTATTATTTCTACCCTGCCCATCTGGCTGGGTTTCCCCAGCCACTCTGGGTGGCTTCTAGCAAAAGTTTAGAAAGGATTTAGGCCCAAAGTGGAAAACTCTTATCCCGTTTATTCCCCTTAACACAGATTAGATGTTTAAGTACAAATTGGAGATGGGCTCCTAGCATAGGAGGCTCCTTTTCGTTTCCCTCTCTCAAAGAGTGGATGGGCCTTTAGCAGCTAGATGTCCATGAGGGATTGGAGCAAATAGCACTTTCAGTGACCGGTTGAATCTTCTCCTGCTTTACATCTGCTACTTGAGCAGAACCTATCAAAGTGGGGAGAGCAGTCTTAACCACACCTGCACCAGACATCGAAAGTGTTTATATACCACATAGTGGCTTCCGTCACACTCCTGGAAAGTGCAGATCATTCTTAGGAGAGCCCTATTCTCTGCACAGAACAGCAACCCCAGAATGGTTTTCATAATCCATCCCTATTCCCAGGATTCTTTGGGGTAAGCCTGTTAAAGGGCAGCCTTACAACAGCCCTGGTGCTTCAGTTGTGCCCATTTCCATGTAAGTGGAGAGAAGGTTTGGGCTGATCCATGGGCTGGTGGAAGATCTAGCTAGCTGGGATGCGAGATGCTTGAATAACAATTCCTGGATAATTGGTGGGGTGTGTTTCATAGTTCCTCAAACAACTTTTGAAATAATCCTGAGTTTGTTGAAATGTGCCTGGCTAATTTCAAACACTGCTAGGAAGCCACAAGAGGTGTTAGCTAAGGCTTCAAGTTTTTTCTCTGCGTGCCAAAGACATTGGAGTCTCCTCTTCCTTGCCCTTTGCCTTCACTATGTATCCCTGCCAAAACATCTGCAATTCTTCCAAACACCCAGCTTCTACACTTCAGTTATGCAAATGTTGTGCAGCTTATTCTAAACACAGTTATTATGTCCCCCCCCCCCCGGCACACTTAGTATTCCATGTAGCCCCCCAAATAGCATTCCTTTGTGTAACTGCTTCAGCTAATACTAAATGGAATGTAATAGACATGCACATGCATGCCCTAGGGATCAAATGTTCCACGAGGAGTTTGTCCATAAACAGCTAATTAATCCTATTAATACAAGAGATTAATTTCCATTATTAAATATCTCATGTAATAGCCTCCTTCATGCATTGCTAAGAGTACAGGGACAGAACCTGATGTTAAACACATTACATGCAAAGCACTTGATCTGTTGCATGCTGACATCTAAATTCAGTTGGAACTTTGCCCAATCCATGCTGTGGATGGCAGCCTTAATATAACTAGACGCCAACTCTTTTACAATGTCCTAAATTCCTTCCATAATAAGTTTACTTCCAGTGAGGTGTATTATTTAAAACCTCTGCCCATTTTTTAATGAAACAGGCACCTACGGTAATTTACTCCATTGGCTATTCCAAAGAGAATTCTTTTTGCTTCTTTTGTCAGCATTTTTTGAAAAATAAATAAATAGTTGGGGGCAGTTGTAAGATTACTAGCTAACCTCTCCTCACATATCTATGTGGAACAGATTCAAAAGGGATGATGGAATACCAGGGAGTTGTATAATTTCGCTTATACATGGGATTGTTCCTTTTTTGTTTGTATGCAATGGTAAATGTCAAAGCTTGAATTGTGAACTTGCTGAGATAAAGGTTTGAATTTGTATTTTTTTAAAATAGGTTTGGTTTTAGAAGGGTATCTTTTGGAAACAGAAGAGGGGCTGGGCATGTAGGCTTGATTCCCAAACTTACCTCTCATTCACTAGCTGGCGTTTAATCCTGGTTTTTGTGTTTGAAACAGAATTGGTGACGACAATCTAGCAGAGGCTTGACAACCATATGTCAGGAGTGCTCTGATGGTGTTTCCTGCTTGGCAGGGGGTTGGACTCGATGGCCCTTGTGGTCTCTTCCAACTCTATGATTCTATGATTCTAATCTGTGACAACTGCATCCTGTCCTGTGTGTGGACGGCTTCAGTGGCTGTGGCACATGTCCTGGACACCAGATAGAAGAGTTCTGGGGAACAGGAAACTCAGCCTTCCCTCCCCAATTGGGTGCCCTCTGGATGTTTTGGACGGCAACTTCCATCAGGCTCAGCCAGCACTATGCTGGGTCTGATCAGAATTGTAGCACAAAACATCTGGTGGGCTCCAGGTTTTTTTGGGGGGGGCAATAGATTAAACTATTTGCCTGTCAGTTGGTTGATTTGCGTGGGGGTTGTGTTGTGGTTCATTGCGCACGTGGGTGGAGCTTACAGGAGTCCACTCTGCCCACTCTGCCCCGTCCCCCTCCTGTTCTGCTTCTTCCCCCTTTTCCAGCCACTTTGAGGTCACAGCAATGCAGTCATGCATGATCACACGTGCTTTGAATGCACACAAAGTGGTCGTTGCCTGTACTTTTCTTTTTCTCTTCTTAAAAAAAAAATCAAGCATGTGAGAAGGGGAATTGGAGAAAGTTGAAAGTATGCAGTAAACAATGAATGAAGCAACTGCAGGGGTTGCCAACATGTCACCTGGGGGGGGGGGGAGGTTGGGGCTGGGTGCCCACCAGTACCTTTGATGGTGCTGCCACCTGGCCTCTCTGGTCGTTTTTCTCCTCTGCCTCCTTCCAGTACCCCAGGGCTTCCCCAGGCCGCTTCCAGTTGCCTCAGGAGGAGGAGGCAGGGGGCACCATTTTCTGTTTTGCCTCAAGTGGCAAAATGTCTTGGGCCAACGCTGCTGGCAGCCATACAATACACAAGTTTATCTTAAATGAGCCAGGCCCTGTGGTGACAGCCAGATTGGGGGAACTCAGTTTGTGCTTATCTTGGTGATGAGAAACTGGAGGGCAATTTGTGCCTCAGATGAGCAGGAAATGTTATGCCAGCTGGCCCTGCCTCCCTGCCCTCTCTCCAAGGTTAAAGGCAAGCTGAACAGAAGACTTGTTTTCTTTTTGTTTCTCTCTCTACCACAGGGACTGACGATTTGAAAAGATGACCAGGTGCTACTACAACGAGACCATTGAGTTCTTCTACAACAACAGTGGCAAGGAGCTGTCCCGAGTTTGGAGGAACAAGGATGTTCTGGTGGTTGTTCTGGGCCTGACGGTCAGCATCATTGTGCTTCTCACCAACTTGCTGGTCATTACAGCCATTGCGATCAACAAGCGCTTCCACTATCCGATCTATTACCTGCTGGGGAATCTGGCTGCTGCCGACCTCTTTGCCGGCATTGCTTATTTGTTCCTGATGTTCCACACGGGACCCAACACAGCCCAGCTTTCTCTCAAGACTTGGTTTGTCAGGCAGAGCCTCCTGGATACCAGCCTGACAGCCTCTGTGGTCAACCTCCTGGCCATTGCGGTGGAGCGACACCAGACAGTGTTCACCATGCAGCTCCATAGCAAGATGTCCAACCAGCGAGTCATAATCCTCATTGTCTGCATCTGGCTAACAGCTCTGCTGCTTGGCCTCATCCCCTCGTACGGCTGGCACTGTCTGTGTAGCCTGAAGGACTGCTCAAGGATGGCTCCGCTCTACAGCCGAAGGTACTTGACCTTTTGGGCCATCTCCAACCTCTTCATCTTCCTCATCATGGTGGTCGTCTACACTCACATTTTCATCTACGTCAAGAGGAAGATGGCTCGCATGTCCAGGCACACCAGCTTCCATCCGCGTTACAGGGAGACCATGATCAATCTCATCAAGACAGTTATCATTATCCTCAGTAAGTAAATGTCTCATCAGACCTCCAGTTTCTTTGCAGTCAAGAATTTCTTTCTGGGAAAGATGCAGATGCAGACTACTTGCTTCTGCTGACACCTTCCTTGGCTATGGATTGGTAGGTGTCCCTTGTTGTTGGCTGTTTGAAATGCCAGCTTCAAGGAATGAAAATGAATGGAGGATATCTCTGTTCTAGACAGAGATTAGCTTGGTCTGTTGGTCACAATCTCAACATATAATGCACCAGGTTGATCCTTCGGTGGGTCTATCCCAAGGATTGCCTTCTGGTGGCCCATAAACTAGAAATGAGAGATGATCCCTGTTCGAATCTGGCTTTAATAATAATAATAATAATAATAATAATAATAATAATATATTATTTGTACACCGCCCATCTGGCTGGGTCTCCCCAGCCACTCTGGGTGACTTCCAACAAAGATTTAAAAATACATTAAAATGTCACATGTTAAAAGCTTCGTTAAACAGGGCTGCCTTCAGGGAAGCCACCCTTTGAACCCACTCATCTCCAAACCAAGGCAAGGTTTTATGCCTTTAGCAGATTATGTCAAGATAGTCACTCATGCCAAATTGTCACCTAGATTATCTGAAACAAGCCTCAGTGAACCTCTGGCTCATGCACACCCAGGGGTTTATTTTGCAAGGCAACAGACATTTTGTCTGGCAAAATACACTTCTGTCCCCCATACCACTGTCTTGGAATGTACAGCAATCCTGAGAATATAAACATTATTTTCTTATCTGTCCTTATCCATCTTTTTGTCTCCTTGCAGTCTCCCTTTGAAATCTATAGTTTAACCCTTGATAGTTTATAACGGTGGTTACTGGGGGATTTGCACTACAAATTGTACTAGTCCACACTTCTTTTTCTTCCTCTACCCGGCCTTATTTTAGTTGAGTCTACTACACCCTTACTTTAGTTTTCTGTGGGCTTAAATGGTGGTGGAAGAACTTGCTTCTGTAACTCTTACCTGCCAGGAGGTAATTCTTACTCTCCACAGGCAACTAACTGGTTTGATAATTTCAAGACTGACTTCCAGAAGGTGTACATTATGCCACCCTAGGTCTTCCCATGTGTCTGCATGCATACTCTTGGGATGATCAAGGTCTTACTTATTTTCATCTCTGTTTAACCTTTTGGTCTTCAAAAGAGTATTGATGGCCCTCCACAAAGTGTGCATGGAGTCCCCCACTGGACTTGGGTTGAGTTTGTGCTCTCCTCTTTCCATGTTTATCCTTGTAGTGATCAGCTGCTGGCTTGTGTTTCTGCAAATGATTCTCCAAGATGACCAGTTCACAGGGCTACTGAAGTGTGCAGTGGCTGGCTTTGCAATGCCTGGGCTAAGAAGTAAAGTGGGATCCATGCCATCCATTGATTAAGTGTGCAGGGGCCATGTTGCATCAGAGTTGGGTCCCCAGCTGTTGTTGGACTACAACTCCCATTATCCCTAGCTAGCAGGAAGCATCTGTGGTGATGTGGGCTTTTGAATTAGTGACTTTCAAGACATAAAGCCAAGTTAGCATGAAAGAGCCAGCTACTATGATTCACCCCAGAAGTGGCTAAGCTTTTTCTTCTTCTTTTTTCTGGTGGGGTGGTGCACACAATATTTGACTTTGCCCAAAGGAAGCAGGGCTGGAATTGAGCCAGGCCTTGACAGGGTTGTACCAGAGAAGTCTGCCAAAGTTTGGCTCCCCGAGGGCTTGGAGGGAGTCAGGAGAACGCTGCCAGGTCCCCTGCTGTGTGGATGCAGCATCTTGGCTGTGTGTTGGCGCATGTGGATGTGTGACAGGATCTCCCTGAGGACTTGGAATGGCCAGATGATGATGATCTGAGGAATGTATGACAGCACCAGAGGGGAAATGAATTTCATTCTTCACACAGAATAGCTTTTTCTCAGAGGATAAAGCTTTAGGAAGCGGATAGCCAAACTCTGTAACCACACTGATTCTTTGAGAATATTGGCTTTAGCAGCTTTCCCCTTTGAATAGGTAAGGATGTCCACAGGCCCGGCTCCAGGTTTGGGATGAGCCAAGCTGTGGTGCTGTGTCTGGCTGTACACTGGGAGCAGAGCCAGCCTTGCTCCTGGTGGTGCCAGCCAGTCCAGAGGGCTCCACCCCTACTCCTCGCCAAATGAGCCTCATTGACGACAGCAGCAGGAGCAGCATGCCCTGCTGGTTTTTGTGCCGCCAGACGGAGTGGTGGTCCCATATCTTCATTCAGTTCTTTGCTCCTATTGCTGCTTTAGAGTGAGGGTGGCCAATGAGGGTGGCCAAGGGGCGGCGGGGGGGGGGGATCAGGACTTTCAAAACTAGGCAGCCAGAGCCAAAATGAACAGTTAACCAGGAGGAGAAATGCGAAGTTCAAATATTCAAGTGATGCAAAAGTCGTATTATGTTAGTTACATGATGTCCAGGCCCCTGGAACTGGGGATAGTCGTCGGATTTAGTGCCATCAGTGTATAGTAAGCCCACAACTTACACAAGGGTTACTTTCTGGGGATCACAACCAAAGCCAAAATCAAAACCCACTGGGTCAAGGGCAGGTGGGATTGCCAAAGTCATTTTTCTCAAAGCTCTGCCCTTAGGGGTTTTTTGGGGTTTTTTTGTTTTTTGCCGCACACATAAAGCTGAATGTGTACAAGTTAAATGTGTGTAATTTGTAATTTGCAGCCTTATTGTAAAGTAAAAAGCTAAAGGACCCCTGGATGGTTAATTCCAGTCGAAGGTGACTATGAGGTGTGGCACTCATCTCACTTTCAGGCTGAGGAAGCCGGCATTTGTCCACAGACATCTTTCCAGGTCATGTGGCCAGCAGGACTAAACCGCTTCTGGTGCAACAGAACACCGTGATGGAAACCAGAGTGCACAGAAATGCTGTTTACCGTCCCACTGCAGTGGTACCTATTTATCTACTTGCACTAGTGTGCTTTCGAACTGTTAGGTTGGCAGAAGCTGGGATGGAGCAACGGGAGCTCACCCTGTCATGTGCATTTGAAACACCAACCTTATAATAAGGTTATAATTATAATAAGGCCCGGGGCGGGGCCTGAAGCCTCACAGGGACTGCTGCGCTCTGCTGCCCAGGAGGACTCTCCTGTGTGAGTGTCTGGGGGCCCTGCTCCTTCCTGTCACTTACCACCTGGCCCAGGGCAGGGCCTGACGGGCCTCACTAGGACAGTTGCTGTTACTGCTGGAGGGGTACAGAGTGCTTTTAAAATGTTTTTTAAAATTTTCTTTTGAATTTTTTGTTGGTGGGGGGGTGGGGGTGGGATGGATGTTTATTGGGCCTGGAAATTTGTTTGATTTTATGTTTTTGTAATTTTTACTGTTTTTTGTTTGCATTGTTTTATTGGTGTTTTTTTTTAAGGTGTTATTTTGTTCTTAAGGGGAGGGGTCAGGGCTGCCGGGGAGTGGGTCCCAGCCAACAAAATGGCTGGGGCATGTTCCACAGGGGGGGATGCACTGGGACAACCGATCTCAGTGATCACGGGTAGGAGGAGGAGTTACGCTAAGACCAGACCATGTCATTACAGAGGAGGCAGGTTTAGTCATTGTCTGAGGACTATCCCTGCCTCCGGGTCTGGTCCTGACCGGATGGATACTAGAATCAGCAAGGGATACCCACATGACCTGAAGGTGCTGCTGTGCAATGCCAGGTCAATGATTCATAAGACCACTGCCATCCATGACTTGATCATGGATGGAGGACTTGACCTGGCATGTGTGACAGAGACTTGGTTGGATGAAGCAGATGGGCCTGTCCTTGCTGCTGCTTGTCCACCAGGTTTCTCTTACGCACAGCAACCCAGGTCATGTGGGCGCGGAGGGGGGTTGCAGTGATTTTTAGGAAGTCATTAGTTTGCACCAGGCGTCCTATTGGGAAGACCCAGTTTTCCGAGTGCATGTTCTGGAAGTTGGGCAATAGGGGCAGTACAGGATTCCTTTTGGTTTACCGACCTCCCCGCTGCACCAAGGATTCCCTGCCCGAGCTGCTTCAGGTTGTGGCAGATGTTCTCCTGGCGACACCTAGCTTGGTTGTCCTAGGGGATTTTAACATCCATGCCGACACGACCTTACAAGGGGCTGCTCGGGACTTCGTGGAAAGCATGGCCTCCATGGGGCTGTCCCTGAATAAGTCTGGCCCAACCCATAGCCATGGACATGCCTTGGACCTGGTGTTTACCTCTATGGATGTTGGTGATCTGACACTAAGTAAAAGCGAAACGAAAGAAGTGCCATGGTCAGATCACTTCCTGGTGCAACTGGACTTTTCTGCGACTCATCCCCTCTGCAGGGAGGTGGGACCAATTTGGATGGTCTGCCCCCGCCACTTAATGGATCCAAATGGCTTCCAGAGAGTGGTAGGGGATGCTTTATCCCATGTTGATGGCCTTTCAGCCGATTCCCTGGTGGCCCGCTGGAATGTGGAGTTAACCAGGGCTATTAACTGTTTGGCTCCGAAGCGCCCTCTCCGATTGCATGGAGCCCGGACAGCCCCGTGGTTTTCCACGGATCTGAGGGCAATGAAACAATCGTTGAGACGGCTAGAGCGCTGGTGGGGGATAACTCATTCCGAATCTGACCGGACACAGGTTAGAGCTCAACGTCGAGCCTACCAAGTGGTGATAGCGACGGCGAAGAATACTTTCTTCGCCGCCTCTATTGCATCTGCAGAAAACAGCAGCAGGAGACTTTTTCAGGTGGTTCACAATTTAGCGGAACCACCTGCGACATCTGGGCCCAGTACGGGCCACATGATCTCCTGCAATGATTTTGTAAAGTTTTTTGCAGATAAAATCGCTCAGATTCGGGAAGAAGTAGACTCCACCGTGGGAGCAGGGCCAGGGCGGGAGAGTGCTAGAGTCCTGTCTAGTCAAGTTGCGTGGGATCAATTCCAATCTGTTACCTCCGAGGATGTGGACAGGCTGCTTGGACGAGTGAAGCCAACCACCTGTCTCCTGGATCCTTGCCCATCCTGGCTTATAAAAGCTAGCCGGGAAGGACTGGGCAATGGGCTTCGTGGGGTGGTGAATGCTTCCCTCCGTGAGGGAGCCTTCCCAGCCCCGCTGAAAGAGGCGGTTATTAAACCGCTTCTTAAAAAACCATCTTTAGATGCGGCCACGATGGCCAATTATCGCCCAGTCTCAAATCTTCCATTCTTGGGCAAGGTGATAGAGCGAGTGGTTGCTGAACAACTCCAGGCACGCCTGGAAGAAACGGACCATTTGGATCCCTTCCAGTCGGGATTCAGGCCTCATCATGGGACTGAAACTGCCTTGGTCGCACTGGTTGATGATCTCCGGCGGGCTAGGGACAAAGGTGAGAGCTGTTTCCTAGTTCTGCTGGATCTCTCAGCGGTGTTTGATACCATCGACCATAACATCCTTCTGGACCGTCTTGAGGGGCTGGGAGCTGGGGGCACTGTCATACAGTGGTTCCGCTCCTTCCTCCTGGGCTGTGTTCAGAAAGTGGTGGTGGGGGATGGGTGTTCAGACCCCTGGGCTCTCACTTGTGGGGTGCCTTAGGGTTCTGTCCTCTCCCCCATGCTTTTCAACATTTACATGCAGCCACTGGGAGAGATCATCAGGAGGTTTGGGCTGGGTGTTCATCAGTATGCGGATGATACCCAGCTCTACCTCTCTTTTAAATCAGAACCAGTGAAGGCGGTGAAGGTCCTGTGTGAGTGTCTGGAGGCGGTTGGAGGATGGATGGCGGCGAACAGATTGAGGTTGAATCCTGACAAGACAGAAGTACTGTTTTTGGGGGACAGGAGGCAGGCAGGTGTGGAGGATTCCCTGGTCCTGAATGGGGTAACTGTGCCCCTGAAGGACCAGGTGCGCAGCCTGGGAGTCATTTTGGACTCACAGCTGTCCATGGAGGCACAGGTCAAATCTGTATCCAGGGCAGCTGTTTACCAGCTCCATCTGGTACGTAGGCTGAGACCCTATCTGCCTGCAGACTGTCTCGCCAGAGTGGTGCATGCTCTGGTTATCTCCCGCTTGGACTACTGCAATGCGCTCTACGTGGGGCTACCTTTGAAGGTGACCCGGAAACTACAACTAATCCAGAATGTGGCAGCTAGACTGGTGACTGGGAGTGGCCGCCGAGACCATATAACACCGGTCTTGAAAGACCTACATTGGCTCCCAGTACGTTTCCGAGCACAATTCAAAGTGTTGGTGCTGACCTTTAAAGCCCTAAACGGCCTCGGTCCAGTATATCTGAAGGAGCGTTCTGCCCAGACACTGAGGTCCAGCTCCAAGGGCCTTCTGGCGGTTCCCTCACTGCGAGAGGCCAAGTTACAAGGAACCAGGCAGAGGGCCTTTTTGGTAGTGGCGCCCGCCCTGTGGAACGCCCTCCCATCAGATGTCAAAGCGATAAACAACTACCTGACATTCAGAAGACATCTGAAGGCAGCCCTGTTCAGGGAAGTTTTTAATATGTGACATTTTAGTGTATTTTTCATCTTTGTTGGAAGCCGCCCAGAGTGGCTGGGGAAATCCAGCCAGATGGGCGGGGTACAAATAATAAATTATTATTATTATTATTATTACTTTGGGTTTCCTCATTTCCCAGTTCATATCACAAGTACAGTGGTACCTCTGGTTAAGAACTTAATTCGTTCTGGAGGTCCATTCTTAACCTGAAACTGTTCTTAACTTGAGGTACCACTTTAGCTAACGGGGCCTCCCGCTGCTGCCTCGCCACCACTATTCAGTTTCTGTTCTCATCCTGAAGCAAAGTTCTTAACCTGAGGTACTATTTCTGGGTTAGCGGCGTCTGTAACCTGAAGTTACATGTACCATTGTACATGATGGTGTAAGTCTAAGTTTTTGCAGGCAAGGACAGAAGATGTAGTTGCTTTGACAACCTCCAAATACTTGTGTGGGTGCTGGGCTTTGCCTGCTGTGGTGTTTATTTCAACTTATGACCAGCTGAGTGGACAGAAGCGAAACAAATTCAAATGAACAGAGAGGCTAACATAGATTTTTTTCTGGGGGGGGGGTGTACTCATGCAAGTGGGCTCTGCATGTGCCACGTGTCCTCCATTTTTCAGGGTACATAATGTGATCAGACCCTGAGCACCTTGGAGTGCGCATGTTTAGATCCTGTGCAGACACCACCTCAAACATGTGGAAGCTGGGCAAGGGACCAGCAGGTGCAATCCGTACTTCCTGCTGTATTTGTCTGTCTGCTTCCGCTCCCCTTCTCATGCCCTCTGCACTTTTTGCCATTCTGCTCCTTCCACCTGGGTCCTCTGCTGCTGCTGCAGTGACAGCACCTGCTCCTGGTTCTTCAAGCTGTCTCCAAACTCCCCTTGTCTGAATAATTTTCTCTGGACCACCAGAGGCTCACTTTGCGCAGCTTGCTTTGTTACTTCTTACCATTCTCCCTTTCCAAGAGCAGAGGCTGTCATTTAACCACAGCAGCCCTGTGCGTAATATGGCTAGGCTGAGCGACGGGATGCCCTAGGCCACCAGGCAAAGTTCATAGCCAAGTGGATTTTGAAAAGGGCTGTGCAAAGGCAGGGCAGGGGAGGCTGTTTCTCTGTTCTTTTTCAGTATATTTGTTTTAGGGTTTCCCCTGTTTATTTCAGTGGGCAATCCTAACAGGATTCTGATGCCCTGATTTTGGTGTTCGCCATCCAGATGGCAGGAACATTGCAAACTTGGACTACTTGCTACAAGCCACAATACTTGCCAAATTGCAGGTGCAAAGAATCCCAGTTTTATAGGCGGTTTAAAAAGGTGTACAAACACAGTCCAACTGCTATCTAAACTGTATAGGGTTTCCAATCTATCATTCTTTTTAAACGATATTTATTAAAGTTTCAAAGAAAAGATTACATAGATAAAAAGAAAAGAAAAAGAAAAAAAGAGAAAAAATACAAAATACAGGAAAAAGATAAAAAACACTTAAAAAACAACAACACATCGATCTTTCCATAACTTACATTTCATTTCCTTACTTCCCTGACTTCCTCACACCTCCCTTTTTTGTATTCCAGTTCTATTAGTTAATTCAGCAATTCTTTCCCTCTTTGTTTTTGTCTTAATCCTTTAACTTAATATATTATAACTTTGGATTCTCATCTGTTAACAATCCATTTTTACATACACCTTTATAACATTGCTGCTAAGACCACTTAATTTCATTCTGACATCATTCTAACATTCATTAATTTTGCAATATTTCTGTAAATAGTCTTTAAATTTCTTCCAATCTTCTTCCACCAACTCTTCTCCCTGGTCTCGGATTCTGCCAGTCATTTCCGCCAGTTCCATATAGTCCATCACCTTCATCTGCCATTCTTCCAGAGTGGGTAAATCTTGTGTCTTCCAATACTTTGCAATAAGTATTCTTGCTGCTGTTGTGGCATACATAAAGAAAATTCTATCCTTCTTTGGCACCAATTGGCCGACCATGCCCAGGAGAAAGGCCTCTGGTTTCTTCAGGAAGGTATATTTATATACCTTTTTCATTTCATTATAGATCATCTCCCAGAAAGCCTTAATCCTTGGGCAAGTCCACCAAAGGTGAAAGAATGTACCTTCAGTCTCTTTACATTTCCAACATTTATTATCGGGCAAGTGACAGATTTTTGCAAGCTTGACTGGTGTCATGTACCACCTGTATATCATTTTCATAATATTCTCTCTTAAGTCATTACATGCCGTAAACTTCATACCTGTGGTCCATAACTGTTCCCAGTCAGCCATCATTATGTTATGTCCAACATCTTGTGCCCACTTAATCATAGCAGATTTCACCGTTTCATCCTGAGTATTCCATTTCAACAGCAAGTTATACATCTTTGACAAAATCTTAGTTTTGGGTTCTAACAGTTCTGTTTCTAATTTTGATTTTTCCACCTGGAAGCCTATTTTCTTGTCCAAATTGTATGCCTCCATTATCTGATAATAATGAAGCCAATCTCGCACTTTGTTTTTAGTTTCTCAAAACTCTGCAGTTTCAATCTATCTCCCTCTTGTTCCAAAATTTCCCAATATTTCGCCATTTGGCCTCCATATTGAGCTTTTTCTGAGCTTTCGCTTCCATCGGTGACAGCCACCTTGGGGTTTTATTTTCCAGTAGGTCTTTATATCTTATCCAGACATTAAACAATGCTTTCCTGACAATATGATTTTTAAATGCTTTATGTGCTTTGACCTTATCATACCACAAATATGCATGCCATCCAAATACATTATTAAAACCTTCTAAGTCCAAAATGTCTGTGTTTTCAAGAAGCAGCCATTCTTTCAGCCAGCAAAAAGCTGCTGATTCATAATAAAGTTTAAGGTCTGGCAGGGCAAATCCACCTCTTTCCTTTGCATCCGTTAGTATTTTAAATTTTATTCTAGGCTTCTTGCCCTGCCAGACAAATCTAGAGATATCTCTCTGCCACTTCTTGAAGCAATCCATTTTGTCCAAAATTTGCAATGTTTGAAAGAAAAATAACATTCTAGGCAATACATTCATTTTTATCGCAGCAATACGGCCTAGCAGTGAAAGCTTCAAATTTGACCAAATTTCTAAGTCTTTTTTCACTTCAGCCCAGCATTTTTCATAGTTGTCTTTAAATAGATCCCCATTTTTAGCTGTCATGTTAATCCCCAGGTATTTCACTTTCTTAACCACTGTTAAACCTGTCTCATTCTGAAACCTCTCTCTCTCAATTGCAGTTAAGTTTTTCTCTAAGACCTTTCTTTTTAACTTACTCAATTTAAATCCTGCAACCTGACCAAATTCTTGAATCAGTTCCAAAACCCTTTTAGTACTAGATTCTGGCTCCTGTAATGTCAGTACTAAGTCATCTGCAAATGCTCTCAATTTGTACTGTTTAGCTCCGACTTGTATACCTTTAACCAATTGGTCCCTTCTAATCATATTCAGCAGGACCTCCAGGACCGATATAAAAAGCAATGGGGAGATTGGGCAACCTTGTCGTGTCCCTTTTTCTATCTTAAATTCCTCCGTCACCACGTTATTTACAATTAATTTAGCCTTTTGTTCTGAATAAATTGCACTTATACCGTTTTCAAAGCCTTGGCCTACCCCCATCCCCTGTAGGTTCTTCTTCATGAAACTCCATGAAATATTGTCAAAGGCTTTCTCCGCGTCCACAAATATCAAAACTGCCTTGGTTTTTATATTCACTTGTAGTTTTTCTAGAATATTGATTATGTTTCTCACATTGTCAGACAAATGTCTACCCGGGAGAAAGCCTGCTTGATCTTTATGTATCTCTTCCATTAGGACTCTTTTTAGTCTTTTAGCCAAAATGTCTGCAAAGATTTTATAATCCACATTGAGCAATGATATGGGGCGGTAGTTCTTAAGCTGGGTCTTTTCAGTCTCTATTTTCGGTACAAGTGTAATATACGCTTCTTTCCACGACTCTGGTGCCCTTTTCCCACCCATTATTTCGTTACAGACTTCCTTTAAAGGTTGTACTAGCCATTCTTTCAAGGATCTGTAGTATCTAGAAGTCAGTCCATCCGGTCCTGGAGATTTACCTAGTTGCATATTCTGAATGGCACCTTCCATTTTTACTTTTCTTCCTCTGTGCCCTCTTTGTGAACTGTACACAGTGGGCCAGACTCTTTCCAGAACAAAACATTGCTGCAATGGATGGATGGAGAAATTCAGTTTGGCTCCATGATATGGTCATGGAATAGCTGTTTTCTGTCTTTGAGATAGATGAGACTCTACACCAGTCTCTCCCAGCCCAGTGTCCTGCTGATGGGAGTTGTAGCGCAAAGCGGCTGGCACACTGGGTTGGGAATGGGTGCTCTACACACATCCTTTCTGCAGTAGAGGCTGCAAAGAAGAGGCCAGAAGTCTCCGCTTCCATTTTCAGTTCCATTATGTCCAAACCGTCAACTGTTGTTAATTTTATCTATGGTTTTTTAAAGCCAGCTGCTTCATTGTCTTGCTTCAGTAAACCATTTTGAAGATTAACCTCTTTTAACCTCTTGATGGATAGTAACTGGCAGGTTGCACTTTCTACTGTATAGAAATAGTCATGGTACCTGCTTACAGGGTCACATGTAGGTGCTGCTAAAAGTGCATGAATAAAGGCACCTTTATTCATTCTTTATTCATTCTCTCAAACCAATAAAAACTCTCTGTGATGTACTACCAGTGACAAGAATCCCTTCTCTAGAGGTTTTTTTTTGGGGGGGGAGGGGTGTTATGTATGGTGTAATCCTATCTGCCTGGGTTTGTATGAGCTTTTAAGACACCCCATGCAGCTAGGAACTTCACAAAGGAAGAATGATCTTGACCTTTCTTCTGGAGAGGACGGGTGGAAAGTTTTCAGATAAAACCTTTTGCTGGGTGACAGTAGTTTGTGCACTGCTTTAAGCAGACTTCTAGTTAAATACACCTCATAATCAGTTAAAAATATTAAAGGGGTCAGTATTCTGATCACTATAGTTTTACCGTTCCCATACAGTTACAAAAATTGTGTGTTTTTATTTGTTTTGGAAGCATTACTTGGTGTGGGTGACTTGTTGAAATTAGCATTTTCCAAAAGCTGAAATGGGGCTGGAGAAATCAGATTCAGCTGGCGAACCTGATCCTGAGCTCCCTGAACAGACCACAAGGATGACATGAGGGTCACAGGCCTCCCTTGCTGTTTGCCTTCCAGCACAAGTGGATCCTGCAAGAGTATGTTTCAGTGCAGAGTGCTGCCCTTAGGGTTCCAGCTAGCCACGTCCTTGTCAGGATACGTACGCCATTCCATCCTGAAGCCCCCTTTGCCCTTTCCCCCTGGTTGCTTCTTTCCTCCAGCCATCGGTCTGGGCATGCGCTGGCCCTCGCTGAGCTCTGCTGTAAACCCATGCTCAGTCCTCATGGGGTAGTTTCTCCCCTTAATTTTTGTTTGGTATTGGTACTTCTGGAAACCTGGCGGCTTCCCCCAATTTGTAGATACTTCCCATGTTTATAGCTTGAGGCTGTCACCAGTTGAAACTCATCTGAGAAATTGTCTTAAGAGTCCTTTAGCCAGTTGACAGCACAGTTATGTACTTGGTGCCTAGAAAATTAGTGGTTTAGATCCCAAGGGTCCTGAGGAAGCATTTGTGTGTGAGAGGTTCAGTGCAGATAACATGTTCTTGAGCAGAAATGTGCTTGTTATGGTGCACTCCGTATGCTCCTTGGGGTGTGTGGGCTGACCCTTTTTGGGCTCCCTCCCTCCCTCCTTTCTTCCAAAGGAGAATCAGTTTGGTACCCAAGCTATAGGACAGCTTGACTTAATCCGATATGCAGGTGTTGATGGATGGTGCTCTCACGCCCTTGACTTTGGCATGCGGCTGGCTACCTGCTTTCTGCAACAGATGTATCCGCCTGCCTCTGGCATGACCAGAATTTCAGAAAAGCCCAAGGTTGGATTTTGCTAAGCTCTTAGGCTCCTGTGTGCTGTGCTATCCTAAACAGTCGGCCAGAGGCTACTCTCTAGCTGTGCAGCAGTGGCTTTGGAAATGAAGGACCCTTGGATGAGTTCTGCTGGGGAAGCTGAGTGGTCGGGGTGGGGGTGGGCTGAAGCAACAGGGGAGCTCCAGCTGTAATGAGCTCCAGCTGAGAACAGGGTGGGGTCCTGTAATAAACCTTGATTTGAGTAGAAAAAGAATCACCAGGGAGGCTTGCATGGATATTTTTCATGCACACTTATTTGTGTTTAGAGGAGCAGGGCAGATTGTTTGTGGTTTTGAGGGATAGTGATGCTTATTTTCATGTGGTCAAAAAGTTTCCTGGCTACTTTTGTGGAGGCGCGAGATCCAGGTTTGAACATGTTTTCCCCTGGTCAGTTGGCAACCTGAGGATAAGGGGTGCAACTTTGCAGACCCTATTTTTGAGATAGATTCAACACTAAATATATATACTGTATAAAAAAGTAGTGCAAAAGCATCTCTTGATAAAGACCATGAAAGTCTGATAGCCATGAGAAGAGATGGAGAATTCTAGTCTTTTCCTCTTAAAGTTTACCCAGCAGCTGTCTAGGATCACCAGGTTATGAGAAGAAGACAAGGCTCCTGCAGCTTTTCATAATGACGTAGATGAGGGAATTTCTGCAGATTTTGTCATTTTGAAGCATATTTACTCCACTCGTCAGCTGAAAAGGCTCCCAGAACAACTCACAAAGATCAGTAGTCAGGCAGCCCCCTCAAAAGTCATGACACATAAGGAAAAAGGGATGGGGAGAGAAGCAGAAATGCAAGTTAAAGTAGCAGTTCTTTTAAAAGTTACAGTTCTTATTAGAACCAGCTGGGATGAAAATTGTTCATGTAGCCTAGTATGCTCTAGATCTTTTTAATTCTGAATTTTAAATTGTAACCTGCCCTGGGACCTGCTGGTGAAGGGCAGGTATTATTATTATTATTATTATTATTATTATTATTATTAAACAGCAATGGCTGGGCATCAGTTGAGAGAGGAATGGCCAGAGGTCCTGGCAGCAGAGCTGATGGGGTCGTCCTGTGCCCTTTCTCTGTGCTGAACTCTGATGGAATGACTGATGCAAGAATCTTGTTCTTAACCGGGGAATACCATTGAGGGCGGCTCCTCCTGCTGCTTTCAGAGCAGTGTGGGAGCAGAAGTGTGTGCTCATCCACCACGCAAGCATTTTCCACATTTTTTTAAAAAGTGCTGAGCATATCTAAAGAAGTGTCCCGCCCCTTGGAACCAGGAGGCCTCTGATCTCTTCCAAATTCTAAAGAGATTCCTCTCTCCTGTTCTTAGGTGCCTTTGTTATCTGCTGGACCCCTGGACAGGTGGTGCTCCTGTTGGATGGCCTCGGCTGTGAAAGCTGTGACGTGTTATCGGTGGAGAAATATGTCCTGCTTCTGGCTGAAATAAATTCACTCATTAATGCCGTCGTCTACTCCTACCGGGACAATGAGATGCGCAGCACTTTCCGGAAGATTCTCTGCTTTGCCTGTCACAGGATGCCAAAGTACTCGCCTGCGTCAGTCAAGTCCAGCACCACAGAGCACAGGATATTGCCTCAGAATGGACATCCAGTGATGGACTCCACACTCTAATCTGCCATTTTCAGGCTCCTTCATGCTGGTTGTCTGAAGCCAACTTTTTGGTAATCAATGGGAGACCAGCCTGTCTTGAGGCTAGAGACCATGGCTGCGGTGCGACTGGGAAAGCGCTGTGACCAAGGTTATCAGCCAGGGTCTGTAGAAGACATTGTTGTATGTGTGGATGAGGACAGCCATCTTGGTTTGTAGCACCCAACTGTGACGATGTGCGCCCCCCCCCCAACAGATGGTGCTGTATTGTAACTGTAGAGACCACATATCTGGGATGCAGTGACTGTTCACAGAGCCAAGGAATGAATCAGCACACTTGCTTTGCATGACACCTTGAAAGGCACCTTAAAAATGCTGTTGTGTTAAGAACCTGTTCAAAACTGGATTGCACCACAGCTGCTTCTTTCCCAAGCTAACAAGCAAGTCTCCCTCTGTCTGTTAACACCGGGGTGGGCGGGGGGCAGGCTCTTAAGACAGACTCTTGTTTTCCTAGTTCTTTTAAGCACACAAATGTTTGGACAGTCTTTGAAAAATGGTGGAATGAAACCACCGGGATACCTGCCTTTCTGTTCTTGCACAGTGCTGTTTTAAGCAAGCTGTCCTGAGGGGTGCCATCGCCTGCTATGTCAAGGTGCTCGTCTAGAATGTTTCTGTGTAGGGTGAAGAACTTTCTGTCCCCAGCCTGTTCAGTATTACTGCCTTCTTGGCACAGTCATTCTAGGGCTGAGACCCAAAAGCCCGCATGCCTTCTGCTACTGCACAAACTCCCCAATAATCTGTTACAACCTCTACCCCCTCTGTGTTTTATGCTCTTGGAGATTCCAGGTCAAGATGGCCCAGTTGCCAGCTGTCCTTCTGGCAACATCCACAGTAACAATTAGGTTGAATTAATGGTCCCATTCTATCTAGGAAGAGACACCGCAGCAGCAATAGGCAAGAATTAAGCATGCCAAGAGCAATTATTCTTTTCTCTTTTTTTGAAGGTTGATGCTTGGAGGTGGAGTTTGGCAGCTTAGCTGACGCTCAGATAGTGTGGTGCCCTCCAGGTGTTGTGGGACTACAGCTCCCATCATCCCTGCCCATTGCCCATGCTAACTGGGGATGATGGGATTTGTAGTCTCACAACTGGAAGGTCCTGTGTTGGCCACCCACCAGCTGATGACTGAATAGTTTAGCTTGCTAAGTATCATATTCTTCTGCCCAGGCTTTGTTTGCTCCCACAACTCATTTGCTGTAGGAAATGGACCCCCTGCATTGTTGAAACAGAGACATGATGCCCAGTTAGAGGGCTGGTTCCATCATGAGGTCTTGTCTGTAAAATGTCATTGTTTCCCCCCACAGGCTTGGCCTTGAGTTGCTTTAGAGTCACTGGGTGAAGAGTCAGTCAGCAGGTTTGCTCCTGTGCCTTGAATAATTGCATAGCAGGCAGAAGTTTGGTGGCTGAACTCAGCCCACCCCCTCAGGGAGATTACGATGCTAACTGTGCTTCAGCTTTTCTTCCAGATGTGCACAGTTGAACCCAGGTGTCCCAAAGCCAGCAGCCCTATAAGCATTCACTCTTCTGAGTTGGCCCATCAACATGCAAAAATATGAGTTGGAAGAACCCATGCTTCTTTTCCACTGTGTAAATTTCACAATTTGCAATGCACCCTCCCCCCCCCAACCACCTTCTCTGGAAAACTGTGAAGGGTTTTTTAATATATCATATATGCCAAGAATAAAATAATGTGTTGGTAGACTGACAAAAGTGATTGGAATAATATGGTTAGCCTGGACTGATGCGAAGGTGTCCTTCTCCCTTCTGCTCATGTTGCCTCCTAAGCAGGGGAAGGGGGGAAACTGGCCTCTCCTCCTGCCTTTGGTAGCCACCTGACCTGCACCTATCAGCTGGTGGCACTTTTCATGGCATAGAGGTAAGACTGTTCCCTGTCAATGTCTGCAGAAGAAGCTGCTGTTAAAGGCACAGGATCAGGCCTCACTCCAAAGGGATGGTGAGCCTAGACCATTGTGTAAGTCAGCAAGTGTCTTATGTTGTGCATGCACAGGTGCACTCTGGAAGTTTTGTCCCTGCTGTGGTTGTGACTGGAAGAAGCTGTTCAGGGTGGGCAGAGAATGTCATGAGCTCCACCATTCATTCTCACCACTTTTCACCGTGGAAGGAGGCAGTGATTCTTACCAAAGCTGCAGCAGGAAGGGATTTATAAAAAGTGTTTTATTGCATACGTTGGTTGCCAATGCTGCTGCAGCCTCTAGGTGATGTACAATGCAATCTTAAAACAATCCAATATAACGGCGCAACTCAGAAAATGAACACATGAGCCAAGCATCAGTTTACAGGAAGCATGATAATAAAAGACACTAAATACAATTATTATTATTATTATTATTATTATTATTATTATTTTGAAAGGCTTATTCATTTTTTTTAAAATGATATTTATTGGAATTTCACATGAAAAAACATCTTAATAAAAGAGAAATTTAAAAAAGAAAAAAAAAACCATACAAAATTCAAAAAGAAAAAAGAAAAAACAGTTAAAAACAATTCCGTCTTTTCATCACCACTTTTACATTTACTTATTTCCCGGACCTCCTCATACCTCCCTCTTTTGTATTCCGATTTAATTTGTTTGTCCAGCAATTCCTTTTCCTCCTTTTTAATCCCATCCTTAATCTTAATATAATATAACATTGAATTTTAATCTGTTAAAAACCAATTTTCCATTTCCTTTAACTTTTTTAGTCCTAATCCTTAATCTTAATCTATCTTTAACTTTAAAGCCTGTACAGCTAGAAGCCACTTAATTTCATTCCAACATCACTCTAACATTCTTTAATTTTGCAATATTTCTGTAAATAGTCTTTGAATTTCTTCCAATCTTCTTCCACCGACTCTTCTCCCTGATCACGGATTCTACCAGTCATTTCCGCCAGTTCCATGTAGTCCATCAATTTCATCTGCCATTCCTCCAGTGTGGGTAGCTCTTGTGTCTTCCAATACTTTGCAATGAGTATTCTTGCTGCTGTTGTGGCGTACATAAAGAAAGTTCTATCCTTTTTTAACACCAGTTGGCCGACTATGCCCAGGAGAAAGGCCTCTGGTTTCTTCAAGAAGGTATATTTAAATACCTTTTTTAATTCATTATATATCATCTCCCAGAAAGCCTTAATCTTTGGGCACGTCCACCAAAGGTGAAAAAATGTACCTTCAGTTTCTTTACATTTCCAACATTTATTATCAGGCAAATGGTAGATTTTTGCAAGCTTGACTGGAGTTATGTACCACCTGTATATCATTTTCATAATATTCTCTCAGGGCATTACATGCCGTAAATTTCATACCTGTGGTCCATAACTGTTCCCAGTCAGCGAACATAATGTTGTGTCCAACGTCTTGTGCCCATTTAATCATAGCAGATTTCTCTGTTTCATCCTGAGTATTCCATTTCAGCAGCAAGTTATACATTCTTGACAAATTCTTAGTTTTGGGTTCTAACAGTTCAGTTTCTAATTTTGATTTTTCCACCTAGAAACCAATTTTCTTGTCCGAATTGAATACCTCCATTATCTGAAAATAATGAAGCCAGTCTCGCACTTTGTTTTTTAATTTTTCAAATCCCTGCAATTTCAGTCTATCTCCATCTTGTTCCAAAATTTCCCAATATTTCGGCCATTTGACCTCCATATTGAGCTTTTTCAAGGCTTTCGCTTCCATTGGTGACAGCCGCCTTGGAGTTTTGTTTTCCAATAAATCCTTGTATCTTATCCAAACATTAAACAATGCTTTCCTGACAATATGATTTTTAAATGCTTTATGTGCTTTGACCTTATCATACCACAGATATGCATGCCATCCAAATACATTGTTAAAACCTTCTAGGTCCAAAATGTCAGTGTTTTCAAGAAGCAGCCATTCTTTCAACCAGCAAAAGGCTGCTGATTCATAATAAAGTTTAAGGTCTGGCAGGGCAAATCCACCTCTTTCCTTTACATCTGTTAGTATTTTAAATTTTATTCTGGGCTTCTTGCCCTGCCAGACAAATCTGGAAATATCTTTCTGCCACCTCTTGAAACAATCCATTTTGTCCACAATTTGCAATGTTTGAAAGAAAAGGCTTATTCAAAAGGTGTGGGAGAAGTGGAAAGTCTTTGCCTGGTACTGGAGTAACGTTAGTTAAGTAATGCCAGGTGAGCTTCCTTGGGGAGAGCATGCTGCAAACTGGGCTGGGTGGGTGAGCCTCTGTAAATACCCCGTTCCCCCTCACTATGGTTTAGCTTGGGAGCACACACACACACACACACACACAGTGCTGGCTATTTGTTAAAGAGAAATCAGTTACTCCAAGGCAAACTGTATGACAAACTACATTTCAGTTGGCCCTGGAAGTAGGTTGAGCACTTGGCTCTGTCATAGGCTACTGGTGAGAGAGCCTGCCCAAAATATTTTTGTGAATGAGGCAAAATTATGAAAGGGGAAAGGGAGGGCTGACAATTCTCCATCAGGAGACAAGGACAGAATGCAGCCTTTCAACCTGGTACTCTCCAGGTGTGCCTCGTAGTCCCAACAGCATCTGGAGGGCACCAGCATGGCGAAGGAGCAGTGGAACTGAAACCCAGTACAAAGGGCAAATGCCGGGGGGGGGGGAGAGCTGGGCTGCAGTGGCAAGACAAAGGGAGGGCCCACTTTGACAGAAAAGTAGTGCAGGTGGAATGCAGCTGATTCTGTCCCCACCACTTGCACCTGTAAGGATAGGGAGCCTGTGGCCCTCCTTCCCCAGCCAGCTTGGTCAGGGGTGATGGCAGCTGCCGTCCGACACCACATGAGCTTCCCTCATCCCTGGTAGGCATTGCTAGCAAAGGGATGGGGAAAGAAGCAGCACTTGCCAGAGGGGAGAAGATGCCGCTGAAGGAAAGGGCAGCCTTGTGGCAGCAGATGAGAGTGAACTGCACTGAGAGCCTGCAGAACACTAGGGGCTCCTCAACATCCAACATGGCACAGGGCAAAGGAGGTGCATGACAGCACAGCACTCTGCTGCCTTGCACATTAATGTTCCACCACCTGACACTGTCCTAGCTTAGTCAAGCTCTGTCCCTCTCAGTCTCTGTGTCTTCTGCTTGCGAATACTCCTTGGGAGACGGTTGGTTCCTACCAGTTCCCAAAGCTATTGCCCCCATTTCACTTAAAGCACAAACAGAGGGAACTGCCTTTGTCCTGCTCAGACTCTCCATCTAAGCTCAACTATGCTGACTGGCGGCTGCTTGTCTGTGTTTCAGGCATGAGAGATGAGGGATACCTCATCTGCTGCTTTAGCCTTTTAACTGGAGGTGGCAGGGATGGGACGTGGGACTGACCACCTGCAAAGCAGAGGTTTTACCACTGAGCTGCAGCCCCTCCCCTGATTTTAGGTCCCATCATTCATACACTGGGTGCAACAGAGCAGGAGGCTTTCCTAGACAAGCCCCACTGGAATGAACAGGAGCTGTGCAATACTGCTACCAGGCTATGGTGGTTTGATTCTATTAGTGTTTAATTGTTTTTTAATTACTACCCCCCCTTATGTTTTTGGCTGTTTCTATCTGTAAGCTGTCTTGAGCCCCTGTCCGATGAAAAGGTGGGCTATAACTAAATAAATATAATAATGATAATCCAAAACTGAGCTGGAGTAGAGTCTAGGTACCATTAAGAGCAGGCAGATCAGCCCCGTGGGCAAATGACCCACTAGCATTTCCTCCCAGGGCAAACCCCACTGAGATGGATGGGATCGCTGGTCTTGTTCAGTTCACTTCCATTTCTGTTTAGACGTGTGCAGGACAACTTCCCAGTTGGTTGTGAAGTGGCCTCTCCAGTCAGCTTCCAGTCCTCAATCCCTCAAATGTTTGGGGCTCCTTTTAATGGCTGCTTTAAGCAGGGCTGGAGCTATCAGAAACTCTGGCTGGGGGACTAGTGCAGCTTGATGTTTAAAATGGAGTCCAGTTTGCTTTCTGGCACGGAAGTAAGAGCTGGATGTGGATAAAGGTAACTGGACAGCTGCTTACAAGAAACCGGCTGCGTTTTCTTCAGTCTCAAGAGTCTGTCATGGATGCTTGACAGTTGTGCACAGGGACAAATCTGCACAGGTTGCTTGGTGCTTCCACAAATGACCCTTGGAAAAATTAAGCTGATTACGCCAAACTGATTTTAGAAAGTCTCTTGTGTTTCTTTTCCAGATTACCTCATTTATTAACAGGACATGTGGACACTTTTAAAGGGTGTGCTGTTTGTGGGAGAGCCAAATGACCAGCTGCCTAAACCATGGCTCTCCACTGTTTGTGAATGGATCCTTGTAGTGAGAGATGAGCTACGTTGTTCTCTTTCCAAATACCTCACTTGGCTTTCAGGAGGGTCCAATGAGCAGTTTGTATTGCTTCTGGGACTGGAGAAGGAGAGCTCTCCAAGAGCATTCTGACCTCACCCTTGCTCTGTTGGGCTGCAGATGTGGAACCAGAGCTGGGGAATCTCTGGCCCTCCAGATGTTGCAGAACCACAACTCCCATCACCCCCCACCAACAGCCATGCTGGCCACAGCTGATGGAAGCTGGAGTTCAACAACATCTGGCAGGCACAGGCTCCCCTTTAACAGGGAGAAATGTAAAGTATTGCGCTTGGGCAAAAAAAATGAGAGGCACAAATACAAGATGGGGGACACCTGGCTTGAGAGCAGTACATGTGAAAAGGATCTAGGAGTCTTGGTTGACCACAAACTTGACATGAGCCAACAGTGTGACGCGGCAGCTAAAAAGCCAATGCAATTCTGGGCTGCATCAATAGGAGTATAGCATCTAGATCAAGGGAAGTAATAGTGCCACTGTATTCTGCTCTGGTCAGACCTCACCTGGAGTACTGTGTCCAGTTCTGGGCACCACAGTTCAAGAAGGACACTGACAAACTGGAACGTGTCCAGAGGAGGGCAACCAAAATGGTCAAAGGCCTGGAAACGATGCCTTATGAGGAACGGCTAAGGGAGCTGGGCATGTTTAGCCTGGAGAAGAGGAGGTTAAGGGGTGATATGATAGCCATGTTCAAATATATAAAAGGATGTCACATAGAGGAGGGAGAAAGGTTGTTTTCTGCTGCTCCAGAGAAGCAGACACGGAGCAATGGATCCAAACTACAAGAAAGAAGATTCCACCTAAACCTTAGGAAGAACTTCCTGACAGTAAGAGCTGTTCGACAGTGGAATTTGCTGCCAAGGAGTGTGGTGGAGTCTCCTTCTTTGGAGGTCTTTAAGCAGAGGCTTGACAACCATATGTCAGGAGTGCTCTGATGGTGTTTCCTGCTTGGCAGGGGGTTGGACTCGATGGCCCTTGTGGTCTCTTCCAACTCTATGATTCTATGATTCTATTCTATGATTCTATGATTCCCCACCACACTGACCAGCACACCTTCTCTGTGGCAACCCTTCCCACAAATTGCGCACAGCCCCACCTCTTCCTAGGCATTACAGGATGCTAATTTTTGAAACATTTGAACTGTTGGAACATAAATCAGGGGTTTCAAAAGCTACAGCCTCCGTTTAGCTCAGCTTCTCTTTACAGTGGTACCTTGGGTTACATACGCTTCAGGTTACAGACTCCGCTAACCCAGAAATATTACCTCGGGTTAAGAACTTTGCTTCAGGATGAGAACAGAAATCGTGCTCCGGTGGCATGGCGGCAGCAGGAGGCCCCATTAGCTAAAGTGGTGCTTCAGGTTAAGAACGGTTTCGGGTTAAGAACAGACCTCCAGAATGAATTATGTTCTTAACCCAAGGTTAAGAACCTTCTTTCATAAAGAAGACTGGGTTTGGGAGTAAAAGGGCTGCAACTGTTGTCCCCTCCTTCCTCCTGGATGATCTGCATACCCCAATAGCTCTATGACCAAAAGAAGTGGCATAAATAATATATCCAAATGCAGTTCCAGCTCTGAAAACAGAGAGCTGATATAGGTGTCAGGGTACCTTGTATATCAAGCAAGACCAGCAGATGATGCCAGATGTTGATTTACGGAAACACATGGGAGACGTGAGGGACTTTCACCCACCACCTTGTCTGTAGAATTCCCTTACCTGTTTCCTCCTTCTTTGCTTCTTGATCACATCAGCTCATCAGTCAGCATTTCTCCATTCAGATCCAAATGATGCTTCCAGGTGGGCTGTAGGACAGGGGCAGAACATCTGCTTTGTATGCAGAAGGTCCCAGATTCAATCCCTGGCTTCTCCAGGAAGGTCTGCCTGAAACTAGGGAGCCACTAGGGACAATATAGAGCTAGATGGACCGAGGGCTGACTCGCTAGAAAGCTGCTTTCTGCTTTCCTACGTGTCATATTTTGTGGGTCATTGACACTCAAAACTGGGGCACCAGAGAGAGACCTTACTTCCCCCTACACTGCTTGCTGATAACCCAGATAAACTAGAAGGATCAGCACAGCGCTGCCATTGTGAAACATTTATTGAAAAGTGCTCTGGATGCTTGTGGTTAACTGCCAGAAAAAAAAACACACGTTGTGGCTCCGGTCCATTGAGAAACACCATCCTCTGATCAGGAAGATCTCCCACGACTTTTTCCCAAGCCCACCCACCCTGCTGTATGGGAACTTCATTGTAGTTTTTCTGTGGTGGGTGGGAGGATGCACTCTGCATTTGCTTGTGGGTAGAGTTAGGTCTTCTTGCTTTTTATGTCCCACGGGTCAGCAGTGGCACTGAAAATAGCTGCTTGGCACAAATCCAACCCTGCTGGTTGCTGGCCAGTGCTCTGAGCAGAAAAGGCATATGCTCTAAGGTACTATTAAAACAAATGATGCATCTTATACTTCTCTTCTTGGCTCTCTTTTCCTGTGTGTAAACATTTAAGGTTAGTCCTCGCTGAATTTCATTTGGTTGCTATCAGTCCACCTCTCAAATGGAAAACTATTTTGAACATTCAAACTATCCTCTAAACCAGTGGTCCCCACGCTTCCCTCCCCCAGACCACTTGAAAATTGCTAAGGTTTCTTGGCAGACCACGTAATCCTCTCTGCCCCCGTTATAGCAATTGCAGTGCACGGTGCTAGTTGCTGCATGATTTCCAACTCTTATTTTTTTGCTTCTTTTATTTCTTAAATATTGTATGTTACTGTATTACAATTTGAATTCTATAGAATTTAAATTGTAATACAATATAAGTAATAAAATAAAAATATAATAAAAATCAATATGAGTATTTAATGCAATTGATGTGCCAGCTTCCAGCTTCAACCACAAATCCACAGAGATGCCATGGATCACGTGAACGAAGCTCATGGGCCCTGGGTGGTCCAGGCACTGCCCTTTAGGAACCCTTGCTCTAACTAAACTGGCTGCAATTTCTCCCCCTTTTGCCTCCCCTTCTTTGTTCAAGTAATTCATAAATCGATGGCTTACCTCCAGACCCAGTAATATCCCCTGTCAATTCCAGATACCCTTTTAAAATAAAAGTGAATAAGTCTGAAGTAGACTCCCTGTCACTCTCTAATTTTTGTAAACAGTGTGCCCATTCTAAGGCAGTTCTTTTGAACAAGGCCTGCTATCTTTTATTTCTACTATTCCCGGGTGTTTAACAGCACTCTGGCTCACACACAAAGGCAGCCAACTCCTCACATTTGTTCCTTGTGGCAAGACAAGGATTGTTGCTTGATTTCTGTCAGCAAGGCTGCTGTTAAAGTCTCAGGAGCAGGCCATGAAGAAAGCAGGCAAACCTCTTCAAAAAACCTTCCATCAAAAAGCATCCGTGTCATTCAAAAGTACCTAGCAAAGCTGCTTTGTGGCACAATCCTGTGCATGTCTGAAACTTTGTAAATGGTGCAGAATCGCCCAAAGGGGAGAGGAAGGCCTGGGAATCCACAGAGGTGTGGATCATGTGCAGATCTGTGAGCTCAGGCTGCTGAGTGATGCTAGAGCAGCATTTGAAGAAATAAAAATGGCAGTTTCTGTGTTTATTTAACAACTTGCTACAGCTCTGTGCACTCTTCTGTATTTTACAACACATTTATTTATAGCAATCTTCAAGTGACAACCCTGTAATAAATATTAGCAATGAAGCATTGCATGCCCTGTTTGTTTAAGCTTTGCCCAATGACGGTTACGTGCCTCTCCCACTAAGATTTTAAAACTTACACTGTCATGATAGCATTTTAAAGGTTTGTCCCAATACACAAAGCCTTTTTTATTTTTAAAAAACCCTCAGCCTGTGATTTGTTTTTACTGGAACCAAAGGGAGTGTCTCCATTGACACAAACAGGGAATTAAGAAAAACAGACACAGATAAAACAATCTGCAGAGGGAAGACACAGACTGACAGCTGCCACTCACTGTAATGGGGGTGGGGGGAGCTTTATGGAGTGGTTGAATCTTTAATAAGATTCTCTTCCTGTATGGAATATACAAATCGTGATACAAAGGAAAGGGAAGCTAAAGGTTAAGGGGTTTTGTCCTTGAACAGTTGATGTTGTTGCTATAAGAACCTTTACCCAATTTTATATGCAGTATTTGGCTCTTACCTTCATTTGTTTTTATTAAACAAGAAAAAAGAAGAGAAGGGAGACGATCCCTGGATCTCCCCTTGCACCCTCCCTTCCCCACACGATCCCTTGCCTGCATCCATGGCCTGCTAGATCAAGTGCTGCCACCGGCCCAAGGAAATCAGATGCACATCCAGATGCACAGAGGGGGGTGGATGCTGTAAGAACCAGGTGCAAAAGGCAGGATCATTGAGCACATTCGAGGTCTAGAAATGTGTTTCCATTGCCAGAATTGAAATGAATTTCAGCTTACTCCCAACTAGCTACCTGTTCCTGTTTTAGCAACCTAATTTAGGTGGGGGAAAGTGTTGCTGCCATTGTTAAGCAATTGGGAGTCAGAACCTCTTGGCAGTCGACTGCAAATCACCCAGAGATCCACTGGTTGATCAAAATATATCTTCTACCCTGAAATAGAGCAATCTTCTCTGTAAAGCAGGACTCATGGACGCTGGTGGAACTGGGCTTATAGGATCAAAGGATTGTAGAGTTGGAAGGGATCCTGAGGGTCATCTAGTTCAACCTCCAAACACAATCCCTCCCCACCAGCTTGAGGTTGCAGCTAATTTATAATGGGGGCAGAACTTGAACCCTGAGTCATACTCCTAGCACAATGCTGCAAACAGTTATTGATGTCTCCAAAGAAATAGGTGTGGCAGGTAGGAAAACCCAATGGCATATGTCAGGTCTGGGGAGAAATTCCTTTCTGACATGAATAATTCAGTACACCTGAGTTCTGAGCCCCATAGGTCACAGCTGTGCCAAATGTTTAAAGCACCTGGCTTTCTCCAAAGAATCCTGGGAACTGTAGTTTACCCCTCACAGAGTTACAATGTCCAGCATCTATAGCAAACTACCGGTTCCTGGATTTGGGGTTGGGGGGAGCCATGTGCTCTATGGTGCGGGTGGGACCTAAGAATCCCATAGAATAGAGATCAGTTTAGTCCAAAGGACAACACTATAGCCCCCCTTTGCCCCAAGAGGCTGCTTTTGATTCTGAAAGGGAGAAGCAGGTGTGGCAGTAGGTCTAAAGTGATGCTCTCAGCAGGCCTTCCTGTTGCTGCCTGGGCTTGCCACAAACTCTTCGCCTGTGATATTTATGACACCTGAATTTCAGGCTAGCCAACCCTGATTTACAGGCTGTGTAATTATAGCCAAAGAGATGGGGCATGGTTGTGCTTTTGCTCATCTGCTTACACAAACATGCCAATTTACGCACCAATGGTACTAGTGCAGCCTAGTGGTGCAGTTTGGCAATTTTAGACTCTGGGCTAAATGGTCTTATGGGAGCCCCTCTCTTCTCTAGACTTTGTGTCCTGGCCCTCGCTGCCAGTTGAAGAACTGGGATTTGGGTTCCTGTCACATTCTTTCTGGCATAAATCTGAGCAGTAGACAGGCAAGGCAAGGGTTAAAGGCGCCCCACCCTTCCTTTTGAAGAGCAGAGTGGGCATAAGTCTTGGTGTGGCAAATGGCCAGCGTTTCTGCTCTGGGCAAGCGAAGGGGCCTTTTTGCAAGTGGGTTGGGCCCGTGAGGTTTGTTTGGGTTGGTGCCAGCATCTCCATGTCCTTGGCAATCTGACTGACTCTGACAGGAGGGGCTGGCAGTGGCCCTTGGGCGTGGGACTCCTCTCCGACAACCTCTTCCAGGATTCAGCCCCTGACTCTCTAGATCACTGTCTCCTTCCGCCATCTCTCACATTCCCTGGGGCCCCAATTTCACCTCCCTGGCTCTGCTCTGGTTGCCTTTCTCCAGCTCCCCGATCTCGTCTCCCACCTCTTTAGGATCCACCCATCCCTTCCAACAACACTTTAGAATGGGCCTCAGCACTATTTTAGGATGTGTTGTTGCTTCGCTCCCTCCACAATGCTGCAAGCCATCCCTGCTGCGTTTGGGGCCTCGCCCCCTGCTCTTTTCTGATGGCACCCCGGGGATCCCCAGATCTCACATGCATGGTATGTCTGCAGGTCAGGAGTTCTGTGCAGTGCTAGCATGACTTACTAGAAGAATGTCTGACCTCACGCCTGTGGAATGTGCAAGGAGGACCTGCCTATTGCCAAGACCCCATGGGGATGTCGTTTGGGAATCAGCGCTGCTGGGGAAGGGGATTCATTTAATCTCTTGCACTGCCTACTCAAAATCTGTTTTAGCAAGTCACTGAACCCGGAGGGAGTTTGTGACAATAAAACCACATTGTCATCATATAGGAAGATTAATATTGGTCATATTAAAATTCTGCAGATGATGAAAATGGTAATCTGTCTGAATTCACAAAAGTAGCAAAAGGAAATTAGAGATTCCGAGGAGAGAAACAAAGATGATTGAGGCTGGTTTTAGAATGCAAGTCAGATATACATATATATATATATGATGAAAATTACAGTACCTGAAGCCTGATTCTAACCAGGTTTATTCAGAACTAAGTCTCATTTATTTCAATTTACTTCATTCCCTGGACACAGAAGTTAAATCTTTTCACAGTGCGAATGCACAGAGCCTTGCATATAAGGAAATGCCAAGAGAACCATACATTTTAGCATAGGGTAAAGAAGATTAAGAGGCCCACGATGGCTAGCCAAGGCTGCCATAAAGCAAAGCGACAAGAATTGTTCCCACTTGTCAATGAGTGTGGAACAAGAGTACGAAGGTTGAAGTTGCAGAAAGGATGATTTGGGTTATATATTAGGGGAAA